ATGTCAGTCTGTTTCCCTCCTGATGGAAATACATTAGCTTCTGGTAGTGATGATATGTCTATCCGTCTATGGGATGTCAAAACAGGATAATAGAAAGCCAAATTAGATGGTCATAGTAACTATGTTATGTCAGTCTGTTTCTCTCCTGATGGAAATACATTAGCTTCTGGTAGTAGGGATTAGTCTATTCGTCTTTGGGATGTCAAAACAGGATAATAAAAAGCCAAATTAGATGGTCATAGTGATTATGTTAGATCAGTCTTTTTCTCTCCTGATGGAAATATATTAGCTTCTGGTAGTGCTGATTAGTCTATCCGTTTATGGGATGTCAAAACAGGAAAATAAAAAGCCAAATTAGATGGTCATACTAATGTAATCTTGTCAGTCTGTTTCTCTTCTGATGGAAATACATTAGCTTCTGGTAGTGCTGATTAGTCTATCCGTTTATGGGATGTCAAAACAGGAGAATAAAAAGTCAAATTAGATGGTCATAGTCATTATGTCGTATAAGTCTGTTTCTCTCCTGATGGAAATACATTAGCTTCTGGTAGTAGTGATCACTCTATTCGTGTATGGGATCTGAAAAATGGGAAAGAAATTTAATCTGATGACAAAAAATATAAAGATATACTTAAAATACCACTTTAGAATAGCTCATTATTACCAAATGGTATTTGTTATTTATTATTATATAGTTAATCCTGATCATACAACTATTAGAATTTGTTAGAATCCTTTATTAGAAGCATCAGGTACACTTATCTTATAAGGAGAATTTATAAACCATTAAGGAAAAGATTTGAAGCCTTTATTTAAATCTAAAGGAAGTTGCTTTTTAGAAGAGATAAAGCAAAAATGAATTTGATAATTTATTAAACAAAAATTATAATTACAATCAATATTTAATTTATTTTTTTAATTCTGTCTTTATTAGTTTCACTCTTAATCTTCACTTCGAAAGCTAGGTAACTTATTTTTTTCAAAGTTTTTTTCTATTTTAGTTATTTATAGGAATTAATTATTTAATATCATTACAAGGTTATCAATTAATATAAAATGATACTACTTTAAATAAATAATTTAAACTCAAAACATTAAATTGAATGAAGAGATTAAAATAAAGATTGATATAATTACTTAAAGAAAACTTAATTAACACAACATTCTTTTATAATACATTTAGGATATTATATTATAGATTTACTTAATTTATTATTATTTACAAAATGGATTAGTCTTTACAACATAATTAATAATTTAAGATATTTTTTATAACAAAGATAAGAATAAAGATACATTAAGAATATATTTAAAAAATAAAGTTAATATTAGAAATAATTTAAAATATAATAAAGTAAACCGATTAGATTGGATGATTTTTCATATTGAAAATAACATACCAATCAATTTGATTATTATTCTTCAATTGATATTAAAAGTATTAGACATTATAAATGACTGAAAAGGTATATTAATCATCAAAAAATATTATATTTTTGAAATTATTAACATTTACGGAAATAATTATATATTCCCTAACCGCCATCTAAGAATCTTAATAACTGATTAACTTCAGCTCAACTTAAATTTTTACATACATCAAATTATTAACATTTATAAATGACTGAGATTATGTATTATCATTGTTACCTTCACAAGATTTTCACAAAATTAATTAATATCTAGACAAAAAATATCCTTAACACTTCTTTCGTTTTTAAAAGCTCTAACCTTTTGATGAACTCATCAACTTGTTAAATGTTAAAGTTAAATTAATTCACTAAGAAATTACCAAAAAATTAATATAAAATAATTCAAAACATATCTAATGAGAAAAAGAAGAATAAAAGTAAACAAATTATATCAATAATGGATAATGCTAAAATATTTAAATTTTTCATCTCTAAGAAATTAGGTAACCCCCCTTTAATATTAGATTAATTCGATTAAAAATCTATAGAACAAACAAAATTTAATACAAGAATCTATGCTTGTTTATGATTAGATATACTATATTATTAAAAATAAAGCAATATGAATGTTAAAATGAATCCTCATAGCATATTTTACCTCAATTACAATTCATTCTAAATCTACACAAAGTCTAAACTTATATTTTACAAAAATACATTTTTATCAATTTTGCAGTATATAGCATAAAGTTAAATAATAGAAATTCAATATTCAAAATAAAAAAGAAAATGTAGTGCTCTTCTTAAGAGAAGGAAGACCTATCTGACATATTGGCTTAAGTTAAGAAGTGGACATGTAAATCTTTGGGGTCATATTAGAAATATTAATAAAGGAAAAAGTGAAAGGTTGCATTGGATATTTTTCTGATAATGGAAATCAAAAATATTTAGATTCATACGACAAGTAAAGAAAATACCTCAAATAAATCACAGAAGTCTTAAGAAAATTAAAAGATCATGATTTCAATAACTAAGACTTTTTCTCTGAAGTAAATGATGAATCGAAATTAAGTCTAATTTAAAGTAAACCGATCATCGAATTTCTGTACTTTTTAGTTCAACTTACATCTATTGATAACACTCTAATTTAATGCGGGTCTAATTCATTATATATATTAGTTTACATGAAGGTGGACCTTAGAAATCAATGTTTTGAAAATATCAGGATCAAGAATACTTCTATAATTAGAGGTAATTTTGTCAGATGTAATTTCAATGGATCTGAATTTGATAATCTAGATATTAGTATACTTAATTTAAATAGTGCTTAGATGTTTGATTGTAAATTGAAGAACATTGAAATCCATGAATTGAATAAATTGGAAGGTCATAGTGGGCGTGTGAATACAGTCTGTTTCTCTCTTGAAGGAAATATATTAGCTTCTGGTAGTGAAGATAACTCTATCCGTCTATGGGATATTAAAACAAAATAATAAAAAGCAAAATTAGATGGTCATACTAATGGAATCATGTCAGTCTGTTTCTCTTCAGACGGAAATACATTAGCATCTGGTAGTTTTGATAACACTATCCGTCTATGGGATGTTAAAACATGAAAATATAAAGCAAAATTGGATGGGCATGTACATTGGGTAATGGCAGTCTGTTTCAATCCTGATGGAAACATATTAGCTTCTGGCAGATTTGATAACTCTATTCTTCTTTGGGATGTCAAAACAAGATAATAAAAAGCCTTATTAAATGTTCATGCACTTCCTAGTTAGTCAGTTTGTTTCTCTTCTGATGGTAATACATTAGCTTCTGGTAGTCGTGATTCCTCTATTCGTCTATGGGATGTAAAAACAGGATAAGAAAAAGCCGAATTAGATGGTCATAAAATTTGGGTAATGGCAGTCTGTTTCTCTCCTGATGGAAATACATTAGCTTCTGGTAGTGATGATAACTCTATCCGTCTATGGGATGTAAAGACAGGATAAGAAATTAAATCCATTGATAAAAATTACAAAGATTTTTTAATATAATTTAACATTCCACTCTATTATATTTGTCCTATCTTAGAAGGTAATATTAATATTAATCATTTTATAGACTAAAATTACATTACTACACTTCTTTTATCCTAATCTGCAATATTCTAAGCAAAAGGTGCTCTAGTTTTCAAAGGAGAATTCATTAATCATCAAGGCATTGATTTAAGATCTTTATTGAAATACAAAGGTAGCTGGATTTTGCAAAACCAATTAGAATCCAATTAAAAATGAAAAATATTTTTATGTTCACACCAATTCAAGTGCTTAGATCAATATCTAATAGTTTTAAATATCTTATAATTTCTTAAAAAAAAAAGCCTTTTATATAATAAATATTCTAATTTCCAATCTTTCGAATTTTATAACTTCTTAGCCAATTTAAAGTTGCTGCTTCTACAATTCCTATTAATAATAAATATTCAAAATAAATAATATTTAATTAATGAAATAATAAATTCATAGAACCTCAAATCTTATCAAATAAGGCAAACCTTAAACGTTATATAAAGAGTAAATTTGATAACGCTTAGTTGCATAGCCTAACATCAAATTTGTTACAATATTAAATGCATTAATTAAACTTGGCTATAAAGAGAATCTTAAAATTTTCTTTCATTTTAAAAAAAGACTTTTACTTATTCCAGTATCTAGTTAATTTTCTTTTCAAAATGTGTTGTATGCATTTAAAAATCAATCAAAAGTAAAACTTTCAGTTTTTTTTTAACATGTTTATCCAATTTACCAGCTTAGATGTATTTGATTTAGTCCCTACCCCAGATATTAATCTTGTTTAATTTATAGGAATTTTTTTCAGTCTCATTTCAATTTCTTTTAGAACCTGAATTCTAAGAATTTGAATAATGAACACAAAATAGGTATATTCGAATTTAATTTTCTAAGAGACTCAATCTAGTCTGGCCTAATCACTAATTATCTTATATTTTTAGTAATTCCAAATATTTGTCAATATTAAAGGAGAACATTCCTGATATAAAATTAAACTATTTAAAATATAACATCTACTTCTTCATCCTCAATATTAAAATTGTACTTTCAAGACAGAAACTTTTTCCATAGTCACTTTAGTAGCCATTTTGATTTCTAAAACTTCCAAAAACATTTATTTTCTTTACCTTCATTTATCATTTATACCTTCATATTATTAATTAAATAATTTAGCAAAGGGATCTCCAACAAAAATTTATTTCAAGTATCTTTTATACAAAGTTAGAATAAGGCAACCTAAAAAGTTTTAGTAGATGAAGATTTAAGTAAACTTAGTAATGTAAAGACAATATTCTAAATTTTTCCCAATTTTGTTTCAGTATCTTTTCTTAATTTAAATAATCGGAGATACATATTAAAAATGAGGTCTAAAATAGGATGTCTTAAAGGCAATTTATTTAATGATCTCAACTTACTAGTGAAATTACAATTAATCTTACATATGTTAATTATTAAGTAATATTAACTCTTCGATTGGTATATATTTGATTAAAATTTCTTCTTTTTCTGATCCATCCATAATGATAATTTACCTTTTCATTATTTAGGGAAACATTAGTCTTACCTAAATTAACCTTGAAATTAAATGTCTCAGCTTTTTAATAAGAAGTTGTTAAGCATAACATTATTACATACTTCAGCTAGAATATCAAAATAAGCAATCAAAGACATTTAAACATATTCAATTTTCTTTCTTTCTTTATTAATTTTTTATTTCAATATTATACAATTTTCTTTGGTTTGTTCATTGAAATATCTATCAGATAAAAATGGTGCTAGCTATGATATACACCGTTTTAAAAGTATATTTTTCTTTTCTTTGGGGATCGTTTATATATATAGATTTAATTAACAAAAATTTAAACTTAAATAACTGAACTCAATTTATTTTTAGATTTATTTCTTTTACTTTAAAATCTGATTCAATTTAAATTTCTATTTCGCATTATTACTTAAATTTATAAGACACCTAAAGATTATATAGTAATTATATTAATAAATTAGTTTGGTTTTTTATAATATTGGATATTTGATTGAATCAAAGGCTAGGCAACTCATGATTTTGAACTTGAATGCCAAACAAAACTTCTACAATTATTTATGAGCAAAGGCTTTAATTTCAAGTATTTTTGCTTATAAATTGGTTTGTTCTATCTTCCTGAAATAGCATTTTACTTTAATCACGTTGTTTTTGTATAAGCAGTATAATATCTTTCGAAGCAAGAATAACAAATTATCCAAGGTCAATCTTACATATTTATTTTTGCAACAGTAGAACAAGGATGATACCCTTTAACAAAATTGTGTTGGTATGATTTATTTATATACCTAAATGACAATTTTTCGCATCTTATAATTTTTTTTGATATCAAATTTTACAATATGTATATATATATATATATATATATATTCATCTTCATCTAAACACTCCAAAAATCAATAAAGAAACCCTTTAATAATTATATTTGAATTACTTTTTGGAGGATCTGCTTATCTTAAATCATAACCATATTAAACTTCATTACATTTAAATCCATAAAATGGAAATTTACAAAACATACATAAATATAAGCCTGATATATAGACAGCTATCATACATTTCTAAAACCAACTACCCAAAGTTCATTAATTTTTTTAGAAACAGAGATTTTTAATACTATACAATTAACTATACGAGACTACCATCATCATATCTTCTCCTAAATATATTAATCAGCTGTATATATTATGAAAATCAATTAAAATATTATCAAGTGGCTTGTTAGTATATCGGTAGTACGCTTGCTTTGGGTGCAAGTAGGTCGGGTTCAATTCCCGAACGAGCCCTTTTTTTATTCTAATTTAGATTCTGATTTTATCATAATTTATTCAAAAATCTATTCTTTAATAATATATTTAATACTGTAAAAATAATTGATAATATATTATTTGGCTTTAGTAATAATTGAACGTGCAAAGTGCTTTATTTATGGAATAAGTATTCATTTTTTATTATTCAAATATATTTAATCTTTAATGAGAGTAGTATAAACATGCATTAAGTAAAGAAACTCTTATCATTAGATAGATTATAACGTTCCTACAATTATAATAAAAAAAAAGCAAATTATAAAACGCCCACAAAAAAATGCATTGATTCCTCCACTTTCATAGTTAGGTGAATATCATGAATCACTAGAACGTTTTGAATTATCATTACAAGAAAACTATATTCATTTCATTATTAATACAACCGCTATTTTTTATAAATGTAGTGTTAATCTTTTTCTATTTCATTTAATCTAAGAGTCTTAATTAAAAAGTCAAAAAAATTAAAATACTAATAATGATGATGATTCATCAATCTCATCATAAAGAAAAACTGAGAAAAATAATAAAAAAAATTTGAAAAAAAACAACAAATTATCGCTGATAAACTAAAAAGAATATTAATAATAATAAGTAATGACTCAATCTTAAAGAACCACAAAGAGTAAAAACGAGTTAATTTTAATCGAAAAATATTTAGACTCAAACCACTTATTTCTTTTAATGAAATTACAACTTATATTTTACATCTGTTTATTTTTTTATTGATTAATAAATATTGATATTAACTAGTTTAAATTATATTTATTTATATTTAAATTTGTTAGTTAACAAATATATAGATTGGGAAAAATTAGGAGAATTATCTCCTTAATTAATAATAAATATTAAAATATTTCGAAAAAATTATAATAAAATAAAAAGTAACCCAAAAGTTTAAAAACCATTAAATAACATATAATCTACACATTTATTATTTCTTTTCATATGCTCTTATTGGATAGCAGATTCAAATATGGAAAAAATGCTATAATCATTTTTCATTTCGATCTAACACTAAACAAATACAAAAGAATAAGATTTCTAAAAATGCTTACTAATTGGATATATCATAATTCAAATAATATATTTAAAGTACTCAAACACCCATTCATATTTTTCAATTTTTACAACTATCAGATATAATGTTAATTATTTAAGAAATTAACAAATATAATGAATATCAAGTTTTGATAGGTGTAAACAATTCATTTAGATGTAATATAAATGCAAATAAGTTTTATTAAAAATTAACTTTTTTCAATTTATTTCAATCCCTTATTTAATTTAAATAGTTATAAAAGATTGTTAATAAGATAAATAATTAATAATACAACCTAAAATCTTATTATTTTATAATATTAAACATAATTATTATTAATCATTTATTCAAAATAATACTACAATCATAATATTAAACTTGAACTATATTCTGAAATAAGCATAGAATAAAATTCCTTCTTCTTTATCTCCATTTTAATATATAATTTAAATTACTCAAATTGAAGAAAAAAATTAGTGATTTTTAAATAATATATATATTAATCATAAACTTTAAAAAACATGTATAAAATCTTTCTTAAAAATACAAAATCTATAGAAATTATGAATCTTTGGTATTAATATTTTCATAAGATAATTTATAAATAATACTAACACAATTAAATTACTATTACATAATCTTTTTTAGTAAACAATATATATAGCCCTATTTTTTTATTTTATTGCAAAAGTAACAAAAATGACATTAATGGAAATTATTGCAAAAAATTAATCTAAAATAACTATTGTTATTAAAAACGTAATTTAATAGCTAATGTTATGCTAGAACATTAATTTTGTTTACTTTTATATATCAAAATCAATAATAATAAACAAAAAGTTCGATAATTAATTAAATTGTAAAGAATATTTAAAAACTATACTAGGTTATTTATAAACTAGAGAATAAAAAGTGTTTGTAATTGATTACTGTTTTTTGTATTTTTTTAATGGATTTTTAGATTTCACGAACTATAAAAAGAAGATTAACTAAAATACAAGTTCAGTTTTAAGAACTTTGTCAAATAGTGATTAATTCAAATTCATATTAAGGTATACTGAATTTATAAATGAAAGATCCTTAGTTTGCATTCAATTATTTATAATTTTAGAATTTAATTATTTTAATAATTATTCATATTATGATTTATTAAGGTAATGATCATAATTAAGATTTCAATCTTACTGCCAAAATTATTGTTTATAAATCAAATTTTCTGATAATTCAATTCTTAATTCAAAGTCACGATCACAATCACCACAAATTTCTAAATTTCTATCAGTGTTACATTCAGAATTTGATTCTACTAACTCAGAAATTATGACCATGAAAAAATATATTTTTAATTTGGCAATTATTAACTTTATATTCTATTGGACTATTGCACTCTACTTCTTATTTTTTGATTAATCCATCTAAAAATATTGATAACTTTCTATAACTACCAAAGGTAAATAAATTATAAACTTTTAGGCATTTCCTAATAACAGATTGTACATGTTTATTAAATAACATAATACTGATAGTAAATTAATTACAATCTCAAATATCATCATAGTTGTTAAGGTTATTGTTATTGTTATCGATATCAATACTCTATAAATAACATCACCAAATTTCATATATTCTCAAATTATGTAATCTACAAATTTAGTTTCCTCTAAGTTATTAATATAACTAAAATGTAAAAATAAAATATAATATATTAATTTTAACTATTTGATTAAATATTAATTATATAAATAATTACAATGTTTACTAAATTTCTTATATTTCTAAAAATTCTGTAATATTTCTGTAGAATGTCCTTCAACTAGAATACTTTACTAAGCGGCCAGATTAAAATATGACAATATGTTTGATGAGATGATGGATTCTCAAAAGATTATTAATTCTGTGATAAGTATTTTTTAACATGTAATGGACCTCTTTCATCAAATTTTTTAGTATGTGATTTAAAATATAGAATAATGGATTTATTGTCTTACATGTATCCAACTGGATATTATGATATTGGATAATTAGAATGTGCATGTATTTTTATTGAATAGCATTAGAATACCACTATTCACTATCACTATTCTTGTTATAAATGTTTTGATAATAATCAAGAAAGTTGTATTGTTTGTTCTCTAGAACTTAATTTTAGAGTATTATAAGGAAATATCTGCAAATTTATTAATGTTGATTATTAAGAGTAAGGAATTTCTTAGTATAAAAGTAACTTTTGATTACTACCAATCTATTAGATATAAATATGAAACATGTAAGAGCCAAGCAGAAAAAAGTTTTACTTTTCCATTAAATCCTTTATGTATACTTGATTCTGTTAAGAGGTGTTTTTATCCAGAAGAATTTTATGATAAATAAGATTCAATCGTTTCTCAAAGTAATTTGCATATCTGCATTTTAGGATGCCATTTCAAATGTAAATCTTGTGATGGAAAGATTCGAAATAACTGCCTCACTTGTGAATCTTATGCTAAAAGAGAATTAATAATTAATGAAAGGAAATGGTACTCAGATTTTTTTTAAATTTAAGTTTAAGAATGCACTAGTAATAATATTAACTCTAAAACATATACGAAATATTGACTCTAATTTCCATTTAATTCCTACAATGATGATTGAAATTTAATAGATAATATAGGTTATTTTTGAATTATGGTTTTAAATTCAAATATATTATTACTAAATTGAATGAAGGGACAATTAAGTACAAATGAATAAATTGGATGATTAAATGTTAAAGTATAACATTAATAGATTTTCATTATTCATGCGGAATGTGTGGAGGAATGGAAGAATTAGATTGCATTATTTGTGTTGATACTGATTACATATATTTAGTTGGAAATACTTTTTTCTGTAAAGAAGGATATTATGATGCAGGGTTACCTGTTTGTTAAAGTATTAATAAATTCTAATATCTAGAATGTAATTATATATGAAAAGGATTCTATAAGCAATCTGAAAGTTGTAATTTTTATCCGGATACAGAAAAATAGAAATGTATTAGATTAAATATTTAAAGTACAAAAATTTCTATGTCCAATTTTAATACTGTCAGATAATTTGTTTCAGGTTTAAATAAATTTAAATGCCTCCAAAAATAATAAGATGATAGATAGAATCAAGTTTTTAGATTATTATATTATTAATCATTAAAGAATGCCATTATTAAGGTCTCTTATGAAATGTAATAGAGATTAAATGTGAATTATGTTCAATTTCATAAACAAAATATATAATGATCTGTTTTTTACTTGTGATTTTAATATTGGAAAAATTGATATTGGAGTTGAAAATTGTTAATAATTCCACTATTTTTTATTTAAAAAGGATGTATGTTGAGTAGCATAGCATAATCTTTTATACCTTTTATGATAGCATAAACCCAAGTTTTAAATAGATTCTTTTCCAGAAGCTTTTTTGAATAAGTCTTTTACTCTATATGCTAGTTGATTGTTAGATTTGTAAAAAATGAATTCATGTTTCGATGAATTTAATAAGATAAATTTCTTAATAATTTTTCATATATTTTAGCAGTATGAGAAAAGAAGACCTACTTATTCAATCTTTACAACTTTAATTTATATAATAATTAGCTCAATCTTTGTGAATTAATTTTTCAATCTATTTCTTCTAAATTTTAAAATCCTTTATTCTTTTAATATTAGATAAATTAAACTAATCAAAAATATTTTATTCAAACCTCATAAATTGAAAAAAAACTTTGTTAAGTGCACAAATTAGAAATAACGGTAGTTGATTTTAAGCCATAAACCAGATTAGAAGACAAATACTTATGTACAAGATGCCTTGCTGAAAAAGTTGATAAAGAAAATTTGACATTACTTCAAGAAACTATTGAGATGATTTAAAGCATGAAGAATTAAAGCTAAAAGCTCAATAAGGAAGAAAATACTATCAGACTCACAAATATTAAATCATTATAATCATCCATCAAGTCATCTAAAGATTATCTCAAAACTGAGCTTAATAAATTACTTCAATTAATAGATTAATAAATAGAATAGATTTAAACTGAAATTGAATTAAAGGAAACTAAGGAAGAGATAAAAAATTTTGATGACGAACTTCTAATTCTATCAAAAAATTATAATGGCAATTATAGTTTTAATATACCAACATAATAGAGTCTAAAGGAAAAAGACATTGTCCTTGTATAGCTGATATAAGAATCACTATTAGCTTAATCAAAATCACAACATTTTAAGGATATTATGGAATCTATTGAAAAGATAAAATTCAAAACACCAAACAACTAATAGATGAATATAAATTAAATACCTACAAAAGAATTTGAATAGCATGTAAATTCATGATGTAATATTAGAAAACTCCTTGTCTTAATTAAATATGTAGCAAACATAACAAGGAAATAATCATGTTAAACCTTAATTTGAATGAACCTGAATTTAGTCGACTGGCATGTGTGGAATGCATTGAAGATTGTCATATTTAATACATTAGTTTGAAAGAGGCGAATAAAAGATGGAATGAATTTTAAGGATAATAGACTGATTTAATTTCAAAACATAATTTCAAAAGAGAAAAAACATTTAATGTGGCCATAAAAGAAATTAAGTAACTAAAAGACTATTATAATGATTAATTATCAGAAATACTTATATCTATTAATGAATAATTAATTCAAAATACTCAAAATATTAAAGATTTTATTAATTTAGAAAATAAATAGATATTTGAATTAGAAGAAAAATAAGTTGAAAAAATAGTTGATTTGTTAAGTTAAAAAGATAAAAATAAGCATCTGCTTGAAGAGCAAGAAAACAAGAAAGACTTGATTATTTGTTTTATTAAAGTATCAAATAAAAATTGGATTGTCTGATAAAACATGATCTTCTTTGTAAGTAAAAATTGATTAAATTAATGTAATAATAAGGTACTTTTATATATATTAATATTAGATTTATAATAATCAGAAAGAAACGATTCACAAATTCATAAAAAAAGTCCTGAAATACATGAATTCATATCAAAATGCTAATTGCAAGATTCTTATATATCTATATTTAATGAATCAGTTGACTTATAAATGGAATTACAGAAAGAAGTGAACAATTTATAATAACAAGGATAGCTTGAGTAATTGACTTAATTAGAGAGTGATAATAATAATTAAAATGCTTAATTTTCTTAAATGTAATAATAATATAAATAATTTGAAATAAATTCAGAAAAAATGAAAAAATTGATAAAGGCAGAGGAGAATTATGAATAATTAAAAATAATTAAATAACAAAAAGAAGATTTACAACAACAAATTGAAGATGAGAAGTTAGTTTTTCAATAAATTTAATAAAAAATTACTTGTTTAGAAGAAAACATGACTGCTTCAATATAAATGCTGAACTAATAAGTTTCAAAATAAGAATAATAATAATAAGATTTTTTACAATAAATTAATCAAGAAATTGTTACTAATAATAAATTAAAGGACAATTTACAAGAATTATCGAATTCAAGTGAATAAAAACTATAATAGTTAGCAACAAAATATGATGATTTAAATTAATATATAGATGAAGCTTAGTAAGAAATATATGGAATGAAAAATTCAACTCTACTTTAAGATAAATTATAATAATTAGAAAACAGCATCGATACAAAATAAAAAGCAATTCATGAGAAAATAGAAGAATTGAGCAGCAATATTGAAAAAAAGAACATTGAATAATGCTAAAAATTATAATAAGAAAAATAAGAACTATTAAAAAAGATTAATGAGGAAAAGATTGAAACCAATATATAAATTGAATAATAAAATAATCAATTCAAATAAATCATCAAAGAAAATAAAGATGAATTTACTAAATAGGAAAAATCAATATCATCAGTTGCCTAATCTATTAAAGAGGAAAATTGGGCAAATGCTTAATTAAAAAAAGAAATAAAGGAATTTGGCGATCAAAATTAGAAAGGAATATCATAGTTGGCTATAAAAATTGATAATTAGTCTAAAGAATTAATTAAAATAAATTCTGAAATGGAGTTTTGGTTGAGGGACAAAATTATACAATACCATTTAAAAACGCGATAGTTTAGAGGGCTCAAAATAATTTATGAAATAACATGTTGCGTCATTAAAACCAAAATTACTTTAAGATGAATATTGGATAAAAATATTTTATAAGAAAAAACAAAGAAAACCATAAAGGGTTCAAGAGATATTTATTTAGGTACTAGAGATGGGTTAAAGGCAGAATATTTTTGGTAGAAAGCTTATAATTTAGAAAATTTGTTCATGGTATTTAAATCTAAAAGTGGCTATATCTTTGGAGCATACTCTCCTTTTAAATGGGATTATAATGGAAGTTCTAATAAACAAGATAATACATTATCATCTTTTATATTTTCATAAAATCATTAATAGGAATATCATTTGAAGGAAGATAAGAAAAATTAAGCTATTCACTGCGATAAGGATTATGGACCTTCATATGGAAATTATGATGATATCAAAATTGCTGGTGATTTTATTGATGGTTATTCTAGATTAGGTACTGCTTATTAATTTAGTTCATAAAAGGGTAACTCTAATAACCCTTTTCTTTTTGGATAAGAAAAGCCAGAAATATAGAATGTGAAATATATCAAATATAATTTTGTTGAACCTATTATTTTAGATTAATAATAATTTAATTCAATAAGTTATTATGTATACAATTATGAATTGCGAATTTTCAATTAATATTGCTCAAAGAAGAGAAGAAAATGATTAAAAAATAAATTCAAATCACTTAGATATTTAAATATTTGATTCAAAATATATTTAGTTGAAAATTTCAACAAACTTCTAATTGTTTTTATTTTTTCTCATACTTCTAGATAGATTTATTTATGATAATTCTTAGATTTATCATGATATGCCCTTAATATCTTTTATTTCTATTGAAATAATGAAAATATTTATTAAATTTTATTTTTGAGAATTGAGTAGATTTTAAATATCATATTAATTAAGTTCTCTGATAATCTCCTGAGAACATAATGTTATTAAACAGGCAATTTCAAAATCAATTATAAAGAAGTTAAAAAATCTCAATTATTTATATAATGAGTTATTTATAATATTGGTTTCTAATGAACTAAATATGCTTGGCCCTCTATAATTATAACAGGGAAATCAAATAATAATAAAATAATGTTTATAAATAGAGGTTATGTATCTTATGGAGAAGATAATTTGAATGCAAAAGAGCTTTAGAAGTTATGATACAGTGATTGAAACTAATTCAGCTCAGATATTTAATGATTATTGATCATCTTCAAAAATTGATCAAATAATTAGAATACACACGGCTACTATAGAATCATGAAAATTAAAAATGAAGAATACCATTTCCATTCGTGTATTGAAAAGAATCAGAATAATTGAAAGGGAAATTTCTATAATAAAGGATGGCCAAAGAGTATTTTATCATATATCTAATATGATGATTTATTTTATATATTAATAAAATCAATTAATTTAAGGTGAATTTAACTTCAAGTAGCTGAATTAATTTTATCCTAATGCCCAGGGAATTTTTGGAAAAAAAACTAATTATTTGTCTAAAATTAAGATTATACTAGTTTAAAAAAGAGAAAAACAAAATGGATAAGAATCAGATATCAAAAGATTTAATACAAAGTAATTTTTATTTTATTGATATCTTGAATGTTATTTGTAAATCATAAATTGATGTGATACATAACTTGTCATAAAAAGAACTTTTTAGTAAAGTATCGAAACATTGGTTCTTATGGAAACCTTTATCAAATCATTTATTTTAAATTCTTTAAAAATTTATTTATATAAAGAGAAACCTGCTTTAATCAAGGATCATTATTATTTATATTAAATAAATTTCTTAACATTCTAAAATATCATCCCCATTAGTAGAATAATAAAGTTTATTTCAATATTAGTTATAAATTAATTAATTTCAAGTGATTAGCCATCAACAAAGTGAATATTCTGGATATTTTTTTTCAATCCAAGCTGGATATCAGATTAACGTAGGATCAAAGTATCCTGTTGAATAGAGAAGGAGGAGATTTTTTTGAATAAAGATTATCAAATTTTAATTCAAGATTTTGCTTATAGACTACTACATATTTGTATTACTATCACCACTTCCCACAATTAGTATGGACATACAACAACAGAGTAAGAGGTAATGTAAGTATCCCTATACTTTGTTCTTTAATAGTCTATCTTATTTGGAAGATGAAAAATATTTTTAATTCTTTCTTACTAATCCGATTAACAAATACTAGAATGGTGCTATTTTCCTAATTGCCATTGTATTCAGAAGATGAGATTTTAAGAATTCAAGATATTCCTGAGACCTAAACAAAAACTCATTCAAAAAGTCAATGAGTATTATTAAGACCACTCAAATGAGCGAGTAGAGCTAGGGTGTTATTATATGGATGAACAAAAAATTGATTAAGCTTTAAGTGATTTCAGTTAAGCAATTGATATCAATCCAAAATATAGTTCAGCCTTTTATGATAGAGGTAAATTCTATTAAACTCAATATACTAGCAATTTTATATGATAATATAACAGACAAAGCATTAAATGATTATAATCAAGCATTCGAATTAGATGAAAAAAATTTTAACGCCTCTCATCCAAAAGGTTTTATCCCCATAAAAGAATTTTAGGTCTAATTTTATAGGATTTGAATTAATATGAACTCGCTATAATCTACTTTGATAAAGCGATTTCACTTCATATAAATCATATGGATGCTTATGATAACAAAGGTTTTATTTTAGTTATAATTTAGCAATTTCAGTAGAATAATTGAACAAAATCTTTTTGGCCATAAAATTTTAAAAAATAGCCCTAACATTAAACCATCCTTCTTAATATGAAATTTCTTAAACAATCAGAAAAATTGGATTATTTTATTGACATTGAACTTGAAGGCAAATAGTTATAATCTTTTATAATTCTTAAAAAATATAAATCATTACTATTTAATTTCCACTATTTTTTTACACTTTGCTTTTTCATCAAATAGGAATTTTTCACTTACTTCCTTTTCTCTAATGATGTTCCTTGTAGAATTTATACTAATTGTTCTAGTTTAGTTTATGAGAGTTCTGCTAAATTATCACCTTTATGGATAAGATTATGGAAAGATAGGTTGTGAATTTCAATGGTACAATATATTTTATTCAAATGATTCTGATAATTCCTTCAAAATTTTCTTTAGCCTTCTCTTAGTTCTAGAAAGGAAATTTGTAAATTATGTTTTCTTTTTTTCAACTGTTTATATCTCATAAAGCTGATATTCTTCCAGTTTATTGATTAGCCTCTCTTGTAATTAACTGTTCGTCACTATATATTAAGCATGGACCTCATGTTAATTAAGGCACTCAACACACAGTTTCCTAAAGCATTAACAATTGTGTGGGGTCAGGTATATCAAATTGATGGGATTTTGTATATGATAAGGGCAATTCATTTTCTTTTTAATCAATTAGTGAATTCTATAAATTTACATTAGATTATACTAAAAATCAAAAAATGTATCTTTATTTATTTTTTTTCTACAATAAGACATATTTTGTTAGGATTTGGAGTTGAGAGGAATTGATCTATAATCGACTATTGAGATTTAATATCAAAATTTAAAAAGTCCTTATGCATATATAATATAGAACAATTAATTCTTTTGATTTTATTATTTTCTTTTTAATCTAAAGATATCTTGTTATTCCATTTTTTACTATTGGCATGATTTATTAGTATGATTAAATTGATTATTTAATTCCAATAAATTTTCTTTAATTTTGTTTAAGATCTGATTTTTAAGTGTTTATTATTTGAACTGTTTTATTTGTTGCAATTTATTTAAAAGATCAATTACAGAAAACTGAATGATATAAGATAGTATAAAAACAAAAATCCTTTATTTTTAAAAAAAATTTTATAACTAATACAATAAGTGCATAGAAAGATATCTTTGAGAAATTAGTAATTATATTTAATGTAAAAGCAGGAAAACTAATTTTAGCCCTCAAATAAAGGTTATAAAGAGATATTTGTAAACTAACCATCAGAATTTGGAAATAAACCAATTGAACACTTATGGGCTTAAAATGAAAGTAACATCAAAATCAAGGAACCAAAAACAAAGGATTAGCTGATTCACTAAATACATTCTTTTTATTTAATACTACCTTAGCTTCTGATAGAGAATTTAATGGATGATTAGGATAAAACTATAAAAGAGAACTTGATTAATCATTTGTTATATATGAAACACATAATAAATATAATAAAGTTGATTTGCCCAGTTCAAACTGTATTTTGATTGAGCTGTTCCACATCCTCTAAAAATTATCTAAGTTGATATACTCCATGCACAGATCATTTAATCCATTTTTTAGTTTCTCCTAATACGGCTATATATATATCCCTTTGTCCATATCTCTTTTCTTTTTCTTTAAATTTTTAGTGAAAACTAAACAAAATTTCTTTTTCTTTTTTCTTTCCCAATCATGGTAAATTTTCTAATTAACCTATTTTTTGTCAAAATTGAAATAAATTTAACAACTACTTGATTATTATTAGATCTCATGAAAGTTTTTATGCAATATTATCCAACTTTACTTACATCTTAATCAATTATAACTAAATAATGAACTTTTATTTACTTTATAGTGAAATTGTTTTTATTTTTAGTTTATATGTTGTTATCCATAATACATATTTACCATTATGCATAATCTAGCAATTCCTATTATTTTTAGATTTTATATCCTACTTTTAAACCTTTGATGTATTTCAATCCATTAATCATCTTTTACACCTAGTACATTATAATACTTTATAAGTGTTCTCTGTCCAATAATTTTGTTTTTGAAAATTTAAATTACCATTAAGATTCCTTAAAATTGAATTTTATATGCTTTTTGTAACATAAATAGAAAAACCTTTTATAATACTACCCAACTAGGTATAATATAGTAAATTTAAATCACAGCCTCTTTATATTATTCTAAAGTCTTTTAAATAATATTCCATTTTACTTATTTTAATATTTTGCAATAACTTCCAACCCAAAATACTTAAAAATCCGTTTTTCATAAAATAATATTCTACTTATTATAATATCCAAATAACTACATCTACTATCCATTCTTCACTATTTTTCATCATATATTCCTTGTTCTCTAAAAATTAAAAATTATTTAGGATTAAATATTGTTATTCTAATGTATTATCAATGCATCCTAATTTTTTTCCATTTTTAATTTCCCCTACTATTCCTACCTTAAAACTCATCATATTTAAAATAATTGTACTTTTTTAATTTAGTTTAATTCTGAATAATTTTCATTTATTTCTTTCTAAATATCTGTCTTATTTTCTTTAATATCATATATACATCTTATAATTAACTTTTGGTTTTGAGTCTACAACATGTGGATGAATCAATACCCCTCTTAGTATAGAGAAAAGTGAATTTTTTCTGTGAGAGTTTTGGAAAAAAAATATACTTCTTGTGAAATCATTGTATCGCTTCTCCATCTCTTATTTCTTTTAAAATCGTTTTTATTTTTTCTTTCGAAATTATTTGAGAAATTCTTTATGAGATTTTAGTTCATGTTTGATATTTCAGTTGCTTTGACCATTATTTCAATCTATACTTAAGTGTTGTATAAGGAGTTTCCTTTAAATTTTATAATTTTCTACCTCATCATTTTTTCATACTTTCCATAGTTTTTTTTAATTTTTGCTCAAGCTTCTTATAGCTTATTTACTTTATAAACAATAAAATCATTACCTTACAAAAATAATATCATATTTTTAATTCAAAATAGTCTCAGATTTTAACTTTGATACATCGAATTTCAAAAATTATGATTATAATTTTACCAACATAATCCAAATCTATTGATATCCATAGCTTTTTTGTTTTAAAATGATATTTACCATTAGCACATTTAAAAAAATCAGCATTTTAATACTTTTAATCTTGAATTTCTTAAGATATTCCAATTTTTATCCCTAGTAAAAATTGCAGAAGCTAGGGTTCTTTGACCTTTTTTAAGTCTTAAGGTGCAAACAGATCGATATAATTAAGACTAGTATAAATGTCTATTCTTGTGGTAAAAATAACTAGTTGGTCTGACAAATTCTAAATAACTTTATTATAAAAGCATAAATTTTCTAAATATTATCTAATTCATCTCATCATAAATGATAAATATTTATCGGAATTCTATCCTTTCCAACATTTATTTACTTTTTTTCAATTATAATTATTCAAAACCATAATCATCTTAGTGAAGTGCTTCCTCTGCTGCTTAAAAACAGGTTTTCTAAAAAGGTAATGAAATATAAATAGGTATTAGGACATAATTACCTAATTATTACTTTTGCCTGATCCAGCTATCCCATGAATGAGCAGTACTGTTTTCTCTTCTAATAAAACTTATTCACTTCTCCTACTTTATCATCAAATAGTTTAAAGGTCATCAAATTACTGAGCTCATATTTAACTTTCTCTTAAGTATAAATGGCACATAGATAGACTTAACATTTGCTGCTTCTTTCAATACCTTCCATTTTCTAGATTCAAACAATTATTCAAAAGATTTTCCACTCAAAAATTTAATATCATAACCCATAGTATTTAGTTGATCTTTCATTTGATTTATTATCACTCAACTCTTAACAAACATTTTCTAATATGATTTATAAAATCAATTATCAAACTAATTTATTTACCCATTACACTAATATTTTGAATGTAGTCATAGTATTGCTAGAATATTTCATTCATTTCTTCAGCTACAGATTGAGATTAGTCTCATGATAAATTTATTATTACAATTCATCAATCCTGCTCAATATTTATTGCATTTTCCTTGCAATTCTATCATGTTAAGTCTATCAATCTTGCTACAAAATCTACAACTACATACTAATTAAGCTTTCATTCTTTAATATATTTCTAACTCTTTAATCTTTTTCAAAAACCCATAATTAAATTAGAGCTTTCTAACAAATTACAATAATTTTATCTGTTAAACAGTTTGATAATATTTAAATTATAGTAAATACTAAACCCTATTCAATTTACCATTCGTGATTGCTTTTACAATCTTTATACTTTTAATTCTTAAAATTAAATAAAACTATATATTTTACTTCATCTACTTCTTCCTCATTTTTATCAAGATATATTTTTTAAATATATTGAATTAGATATTCTTACCCAAACTAAATTTTTGAGATGACACTTTAGTTTATTTCAGACTTTCTTTTTCATTTTTGCAATATATTGATTTATATTTTTTCAAAGTACTCTTTAAATGACCATTAATAATAAATTATCTATTGTCCAATGCTAATACTTAAATTTATTAATATAAAATTAAAATTTTTTATTTTTTGAGTTTTTAAATATTCTTATAAGTTGCAAATGATAATTTTTAATTTTTAATTAAAAGTGCTATTTAATAGCCACTTATTAACTTACTCATTACTCCTAAATTATTTTGAGATTTTAATTACTTCCCTCAGTTTCTCATCATTTTATTTTATTAAATTAATTAATTTAGTTGAAAAATGAAGTTTTATCATTTTCTCAATATTCTAAGTGTTTTCATTTATTTAGGAATCTTCTCTAAATAACAGCTGAACCATTACTATTATATATTTATATTGATAATCCTCTGTTATTATAATGCTTCCAAATCTAACTAATTGACTCTATCCTAAAGATTTATTCAGCTAAATTAATCTTTTTTGTTAGTAGAGGATTAAAGACTAATATATTATCAATCATTTAGTTCCAGATATAATGTTCCCTCTAATTTTTTGAATATTTAACTATTTTTTCATATATTACCTCAATTTGTAGAAATATTTATTATAGATTTTTGTATTTTTCATATTTAGCTTAACTAACCTCCCATTACAGCATATCTACTTGATAACACACTTCATATTATTTACTCTAAATAAAAATACCTTACATTTTGTGAAGTAGATAGGCTCCTTGGGATCATTTTGATTAGAGAACTTATTATAATTACTAAGGATCCTTTTAATATTTCTTCCTTTTTAATATTATAATTTGGATTAATCTCAAATGAAGTATTTGTTAAGAAAAAAATAGTTCAATTTAATTTAAATTAAATCATTCTTCTCGATTTCCATTTATTATGGTTATACATCCCAAATTACCAGAAAATAATTTTAAGTTTCATATTTCGTTAATCTCTCATCATTCATAAAATGGAGGCTAAAAAATTACATTAAATAGGGATGGAGTAATCTATAAAATATCATAATTTTTAAAGGAATCTGATCTAAAGTTAGTTTAAAAGTTTTTCAATAAACATCTAATTCCAAATAAAACTTAGCTGTATCATTTCTTAATTCTTATTGATTTTGTAAATGTTTTCCTCTTAAAAAATAAACCATTGTATTGCTATCATTATTTCTTATGATTAATATTAATAAGCTTCAACTGAAACTTTAGATTCTATTATCTAAACATATTGATTGACACTTGAAGAGATATCATTAACA